TGCCTGGTCTTGCACATGATTCTTACAAACCCTTTATTATTCTTTCTTTGAAGATCCTCACCTCCTTCGGACCATGACCCCTGAGAACATGTGCCACATGACCCCCCCTTCCCGGTTGGAGCACCCTCCTCCACCTCCTCCACCCCCGCCTCCTCACCTCCAGGGCCCCCCACCTCCTCCACCGCCTCCACCCCATCCACACCAGCCGCCGCCGCACAACCCCCACTATCCCAGCATGCAGCGGGACATGTACATGAAGGCTGAGCCGCTGATGCCACCATATGGCATGGGGCAGGGTGTGTCGCCTGGTGATCTCCACCATGCCCAGCAGTCCCAGATGCTTCACCAGTTACTTCAGCAGCACGGAGCTGAGTAAGATCTTGGGGAGGCCAGGGGTGGGGGGTATGGGGGAACCTGGGGCTGCTAGTGCTACAGGGCTTTTTCTGAGGTCCTGGTGTGCAGTTTGGGAGTGCTCACTGAGGATAGGAGGCATAGGGGGGTTAGCTATGCCTTAGGACAGTAAAGTTGCTGGGTTTTACCACATGGAGAGGAGTATGAATGGACTTCATGGTAATGTGCCCAGAGGTTTAGGGTAATAGGTGAAGGAGAGCATGATTGTGCAGCATGATGGTATGAGGCAGGGGTTGTCCACAGCATGGAGCATATGGTAGTATGGCAGTGGAGGGATATGGCAGTGATGCATGGGTCAGTTATGATGAAAGTGGGTGTAGTGGCAGTGTGGCATAGGGCATAGGAGTAGTGTAGGTAATGAAGCACTTGAATAGAGCAGAGTGGGGTGTCACAGAATGGGGGCCTGTTGGTGGAGAGGGTTGGGGGCCCGTTGGCTGTGGAGGTTTGGAGTATGGTGATAGGATAGAGGTAGAGGGTCCCTGATGGAGGAAGGTTAGGGGCATCTCTGCTCTTAGAGCACTCAGAGTTTAGTGTTTAGCACCTGGAACCAAGCCCTTTCCTGGTTTCCTATCTTCAAGCCCCTCCTCTCAATTCCTCACTGGCCATTGAGA